GATTTAAATAATTTTATTCTATAGCAAGAGAGAATGAAAATAAATTAATTTGAGCACTCAAGGAACTAGGGAAAAAAAGCAAAATATACCTGAGAATGTAGAAAGAAGTATCAGTTAAATATAAAAGCATCGTTTCTAAAATAAAAAAAGGTGTGAAAATTATATTAGTGCAAGAGTAAAATTAATAAAGTATTGAAAAGGCAATAAAAATGGCAAAGCTCTGTGAAGATTTTGGAGAAAAAAAATAAAAGAATACACAGTATTAGAAGAAGAGAGACAAACATAAAAAGAGTTTTTGGTTTGGTTTTGGTTTTGGTTTTCAAAAAAGGAGAAAAGCTTTCATATAACACAACATAACATAACATAACACAACATAACATAACACAGACAGTAACATGACGAGCCTCGTATCAACCTATGGAGTTGAGGGCTTCCTTTCTTTCCGCGAGCACCTCAGCTGCCACAGACCCGACAGAAAGGCCTGTCTTAGCTTTTGGTTCACCAAAATCAGGATAAATGAGTGGCTTGAAGGATAGATGAGTCCACAAGCATGGTAAAGTGTGAAAGTCCATCTTTTCTGCAGCATTGTAGAACACCAACTTGCTATGATTAGAGACAGAAAATAAATGGCAAGTAACAAAAGGAAGGATATCATGGTTTGCATGGTTTTTACATGGATCTTGATTCTGGGATCTTGGGGTCTTCTGCCATTGAGTTGCATCTTCTTGAGATGTTTCCTCAGGGAAAAGATTAACAGCAGAAGAGAGGTCAGGGACATAGTAAAGGGCAGGCAGAATGCTAAAGTGGATACAGCCAGGGATGAAAAGTGCTCCATGTCATGAGATTTGGTCTTCAAAGTCATGTTTCCTTCATATTCATTCTTCCAAATATTTTCTTCTCTGCTTGTCACTGCAAGTTGAAAACCCAAAATGACCAAAGTCCCCAACATTATCACCAGAACCAATCTTTCAACTCTCCACTTTAGGTGAAGAAAAACAAGGTTAGAGAAATTGGCTATTTTGAGCAAATAAAATATGCTGAGGCAAGTAGCAAGCCACGTGCTAAAGTGATTGCTTACTGTCCAGGCAATATCAATAGCTCTTGCCTCTAACCTATATGAAAATGAATTAAACAGCACTAAATACCAATTTATTGCTATTACCCAGAGCAAACCAATTCTGGAGACTGCCAGAGCCATGAGAATTGTATCAACTGAGGAGATCTTTTGTCTCTTGACCCAGTCAATGCAGTTGGTCAGTGCTATGAAACCATTAGCAAGATTTCCCAAAACAAATGCTAACGTTAATAAGGTTGTAATGAGGCTCTGTAGTAAACTTATCATGTCTGGGGAAAATAAAACTTCCAAGCCTAATATCACAGCTTCTGATTCCTTAATATCCTGACCTAAAAGTTCTATGTGTACCTAATTTCAGAATGTGCAGTCAAGTTCTTCTCCTTTAAACTCTGTGGCCAAAGTCAAGCAGGAAAACACCGAAGTATGCTAATGGATGGACTCGATGCCGTCTTCTTGAGAAACATTGCTATCGCAAAGCAGATCACATTAGCTCCTGTTCATATACTGTGTCTCCTTGCCGTAGGCTAACTGGTTCCTCCTGATGCTGAAACAAAAGCTCACTTCTCATTTGCTAGCATGCAAATAAAGACATATTCTCTTTCATCGTTTTGCAATTTTTCCTTGTTTAACCTCTCCATAATTTGTGTTCATCGACCATAGTTGTTAGCTACTGAAATTTAAAAACACTAACAGAAGATACAGCAAATGTCTGAATTGGTAGGTAAAGCTTAGTCATAACTAGGATCATCACCACTAATGATTTTTTTTTTTAATTTTACTGTAAATTTATGTAGAAAATCTTAAGAGGGCAGATCTATCAGTTATCCAAGTTTTTCCTGTAAAATAATCTAAGTTTTACTTGGGAATCCCAGATAGGCCAATACTCTCTAAAATCTGGTTACTGAAAACTAATACTTATGTAGAACTTTATTGTTTACACACTTGTAAACACACACACACACCCCAGGGATGGAAGGAATTATTGTACTACAATTTCCAAATTGGAAAATAAGTCTCAGGGAGGTCATCTGGGTTTAAGGCCTCCTCTTTTCCCACTCAGGCTTTTTAGCCCATTACTAATATTTAGCAAACATTTCACTCGTGCTTACATCTTTCATAAACCTTCTCTCTTGAGTCTATTGTTTAAATAATAATTATTAAATACAATATTTAGCAATTTTGTCAGTATACGTTCTTGCACACTTGAAAACATTCCATTGCAGCCTATGCTTCTCAACACAGGAGTATTCATTTTATTTTTATCTCTTTAGCTCATTTTTGACTCCTAATTTTTTTAATTTTTAATCAATGCTAAAATCAGCTGCTATCCTTGCATTTTATTCACTTACAGTGTTTACAATAGAATTGTTTTTAGCAGAGGATCTGGGGCCAAACTGCCAGGATGGAAAACACCTGTCTCAGCCTTATTTACTTCTGATCTTGGGCTCTATTTTAAAACTGCTCTTTACCTCAGTCTGATCATCAGTAAAATGCCGGTGATAATAATATCGTCTTCAGGTGTCCTTGTGAGGAGTTGGTCTGTTATTTGTAGAAAGTGTCTTCCATTTTATTTGCTGGGCAAGAGCAGGCAAGGGGGCTGTTAGTGAGTCATTTTGATCGGTGCTATTTGACACTTAAAGTTAACATGTAAGTGTAAAAATGTTTACATTGCAAATGCTTTCCCATATAGATATTTACCACAATTAAAAAAAAAAAAAAAAAGAGTTTAACGTGTGAGAAATTTCCCCCATGGGTCTAATGTAGTAGGTTGAGAAAGTCCAGATTTCCCTCTGCAGCAACTGAGAAGGAAAGAATAAATTGCAAACATTTTATTTTATATTAGTCAGAGAGCTTTGGAAACAAGGAGGATCAGCTGAACTAAAATCTTGAAAGAGGAAAGCTTTTTAGTTGAGAATATGATCTACACGTTCAGTGTGCTCCCTATCAAATCCTAGCAGGAATTTTTGTGGAAATCGAAAAGCTGTTCCTAAAATTTCTAAGAAAATGCTGGGTGGCCAGAAATGCCAAAGTAATTTTTTTGAAAAGAACCACATTGGAGGATCACGGCCCTGAGTTCAAAACTTACTACAAAGGTGCATTAATCAAGATGGGTTGGTACTAGCATAAAGATGGACATACAGATCAATAAAACAAAACTGATGCCCAGAAATTAATACTTACATTCATGGTTAATTCATTTCAACAAAGCTACTGAGGCACTTCAATGGGGTGATGATAGTTGTTATTTATTTTTTATTCAACAAGTAATGCTGAGCCAATAGGATATCCACATGCACATAGATGAATTTAGACTCTTATTTCATGCCATATACAAAAATTATCACAAAATTGAACACAAGTATAAACACAAGAGCTAAAACAATATGACTCATAGAAGAAAACATAAGGGTAAATTTAATGACCTTAAATTTGGCAATTGATTCTTAGATAAGACACCAAAAGCATGAACAACAAAGAAAGATAAATATATTGCATTCCATCAAAATAAAAAACTTTTTTGCATCAATGGACTTTACTAACAAAGTGAAGAGATAACCTACAGAATGAGAGAAAATATTTGAGCACCATATATCTGGTAAGGACTTAATAGCCAGAATATATAAAGAAGTCCTATAACTCAATGGCAAAAAAAACAAACAACTCAAAAAATTTGCAAAGGGCTTGAATAGATATTTCTCCAAAGAAGATATACAAATGGCCAATGAGCACATGAAAAAATGCTCAACATTACTAACCATTAGGAAAATGCAATTCAAAACCATAATGAAATAACATTTCACACTCACTAAGACGGCTATTATCAGAAAAACAGAAAATAACAAGTGTTGGCAAGGATGTGGGGAAATGGGAACCTTCCTTGTGTATTGCTGGTGGAAATGTTAAATAGTGTCACTGCTGTGGAAAAGAGTTTGGCAGTTCCTCAAAAAGATAAGCATAGAATTCTCATATGACCAACTAATCCCATTCCTAGGCATATAACCAAAAGAACTGAAAGAGCAGATTCAGAAACTTGTGCCCCAGTGATAACGGCAACATAATTCACAGTAACCAAAAGGTGGCAACAACCAAAATGTCCATCAACAGACGAGTGAACGCAATGTGGCATATCCATACCAGGACTTTTAATTTAGTCATAAAAAGGCTGGAAGCTCTGATATATATTGTGATATAGATAAACCTTGGATACATTAAGCTAAGTGAAATTTTCCCAATACAAAACGCCACATATTGTATGATTCCACTTCTATGAAATATCTAGAACAAGTAAACTTAGAGGCAGGAAGTAGCTTACAGGTTACCAGGGGCTAGGGTGAGGAAGGAATGGAGAGATACAGAGTTTCTGCCTGCAGTGATGAAAAAGTTTTGTAAATAGATAGTGGTGATGGTTGCACAACACTGTGGATGTAATTAATGACATTTAATTCAGGCTTTTTATTCCTTCATCAATATTTATTACACAGCTGTCTCATGCTTGATACTGGGATAGATGATAAGACACTTAGAAAAACACTTCCATTTTTATGGTATAGGCAATAAAACCTGTGAAAGCCAGAACCTGTGTAAGGCAGAAACCTGTCAGAAATGGAAAATTCAAATATTTTCCAATAAGACAAGCCATTGAAAAGTGGTAAGACTGCACCCTGTCAAAGGCGGAAAACGTGTCAGTTCCGGCTCTCACAGGTTTCACTGTACTATATGATGCAAGCATCCAGCAAAAGTTGACTATATTTTTTCTGAGTGTATGAAAAGAGATGGAAATATATCTGTTATCCCACAAAGCAGTCACTGGTTGAATGAGTTCATCCACAAACAAGAGCCCGCCTCATTCTGTGCCCTCCGCTGCCCAGTAGCACGCATTCCCCAGTCTACACCAAATACCTTCAGTTTTTATCCACATCCCCTGACCCTCTTCAGTAACACCTGCTCCCTGACCCTTACTGCTGGCACCAGTGTAGATAAAGCATGATGCGCTGCCTGGTCAGCTCGGGGGGATAAACACCATGACACAATCCTTTTTCCCCAATACCTAAAAATAAATACACGCATGAAGGAATGAATAGATAAATAGATAAACAGATAATAAAAACAAAGGGCCAATGAGATAAACTCAGCAAGACCCACCAATGAAAGCTAAAAAAATTCATAGCTTCAACTTTAAAGTGACAAACAAAGATTCGGGATAATCCAAGGTGAAAGGCTGACCCCACCTTCACTCTCCTGAAGCAATACTGAACAAGAAAAGGGAATCCAAACAATCTTGTCAATCCGCACAAGTACCCGACAGTTAGGGGGACACGTATTGAAGAGGCAAATGGACCGGCACAGCCAAATATCAAGGAAAACACCTTTAGAAGCACAAATATACCTTCGGTGCAGAGGCAGGAAGTTCCCACTGTGGCTTGGCTGTTTCCAGGTAACTGAGAGGCTGTGGAACAAGACAAATACGCGAGAAGTGTGAACAGCCCCAGGTGGGT